TGATGTATGTATGTATGGATTGTGATAAGAGTTGTATGAGCCCCCAATAAAATGATTTAAAAAAATAAGAAAAAAAAAGAAGAAAATATTCTAAAATTGATGATAGTGATGAATGCCCAACTCTCTTTAATATAATAAACCATTTCATTGTATGACACATGAATTACATGTCAATAAAACTGTTTAAGGAAAAAGAAAAGAAAGGCGTGGCCCATGGTGAGTACCCAGAAAGTGTGAGTAGTTGATACAATCGATACTGGGAACCACATTTGTCCTGCTAATTGCTAGCAGTTCTTCTTGAGTAACACTGTATTCTCTTCTGTTCTTCTCTTGGTCCTCTGACTGCTCCTTAGCGGCTTCCTGTAATTGCTTGTCTCCTTCTATGCTATAGGTTCCCAGAGATATTTGGTCTGCTGCCCCCTTTCCAGGAAGAAAAAAAAAATTCTCAGCAGCCCCTGGCAATTAAAATTTTCTGTGCTATAGCCCAGAATCCAGTGTCGGTATTGTGGCCTCCTGGATGCTTTGTCAAAAAACAACTTCATGTGGTCACATTTAATGTTGATTTCTGAGACGCTTCAAGCCCTGTTCTCAGCTGTTTGTCAGATCTGTCTGTGGCACTGTTCCAAAGATCCCTCAGACTCAGTCTGCACAGCTGAACTTGCTCGCTCTCTTCTCCCCCTTTGCGCCCACCCACTCGAGGAGCTCTGGTGGCTCAGTGGGTTAGTAGGTAGGCTAGAAACCAAGGAGCCTGTGTTTCCAGCCACCAGCCACTCCCAGGAGAAAGAGCAGGCTATCTGCTCTGACAGTTTTACCCTACAAAGCAGTCCTACTCAGTCCTGTAGGGTTTCTGTGAGTTAGAATTGGTTCCAAAACAGTGGGTTGAGTTTGGATTTATTCTCCCCCTTCCTCATTTCATTAATAGCTTCACGGCCCAACTGGTTATACAAACTTGTCGTTGTTGTCTCTTCCTTCCCCCTCAGGTTTCATAGCTAATCATTTGCTTACCCATTGCCATCAAGTCAATTGGGACTCCTGGTGACCCTATAAGTCACTCTGAACTGCCCCTGTGAGGTTCCGAGATGGTAGCTATTGACAGGAGTACAAAGCGCATGCTGCTCCCTTGAAGCAGCTGGTAGTTTCCCATTGCTGACCTTGTAGTTAGTAGCCCGATGCATGCCCACTGTGCTACCAGGGCTCCAGTTGTTTGCTTAGTGTTTCTGATTGCACCTACACCATTGTTCTTCTGTTGGGCTTCGTGTTTACTCTGATCTTTTCTCATGTCATATGTCTGTCACTTGATGATGATAATAAAATAGTAACACAACTGTTTTGGAGGAGGTCACTATTGACATTTTAGTTTCTTTTGAATATGTCACTTCTGCAAGCTGAAAGTAGGACCACACTGAGCCACCTAGTTTTCTAGTGATCCAGCTGTCTTTTGATCTTAGCAGAATGACATAATACAAGATGCTAATGATAAGTAACCACTTATTTAAGTTTTTCATTAGGAAATATAGATAAAGAACATCTTGCTATTCTCAATTATATACTGGCCAACTTTTCAGTGAATCAGATCAGAACTAAGGACTGATAAATAAAATGTTTATTAGGGGAATTTAAAAAGTTTGTGGAAAAATGAAATAAAAGCTAAAAGAATTTTCCCACAAATTCTTTTAAGCACATTCTGAAAATCTGCTTGTCAATAAGTAAGTAAAAAATATATAGATTTATTCACACTGATACTCGTATACATATATATATATTTTTTACCAATTTAATGTCTTCTGGTGGTATAGTGGTTAAGCATTGAGCTGTAATCTGCATGGTCAGCAGTTTGAAACCAGCAGCAGCAGCAGCAGCAGCAGCAGCTCTGAGGGAGAAAAACTGGTCTTTTTACTTCTAGAAACAATTCCAGTCTCAGAAAACCCACAGGGGGTTGCTAAGAGCCAGCATTGACTGGTTGGCTGGGAGTGAATGAGTGGAGTGCCCATTAGATTATTTTGTGTTCTACTCTATCACAAAGTTAGAGATAAGATAATTAGATATCTATTTTTAAAATAAATTACTTAGTTAAAAACATTTTTAATGGAAGGAAAATGAAGATACACTGCATTTTTCCTTGCAACAGAACAGATCGACCAAGAAGACTAAGATTGTTGAACTCTGAAGAGGGCGGAAGCAGCAACACTTTGTAGCACAGAGTAACTCCCTTCCTCTGCGTAACTACCATCACAGTTCTTCTTTGATGACAGTCTTGTAGACCTTCTCAGGACTTTGACCAGGGCCAGGAAATGAAAAGTAAAGTCCTAATTAAGTACCTGAAAGCTCAGTGAGCTAGCCATACTCTGGCCTTAGTTTTGTTAGACATCTGTAAACTGCAGAATACATTGGCTATACAGTACATAGTCTCTGCCAGTGTCTAAGACAGGGCTCAGTCTCATACATAACACTCTCGTCGGACCTAAGTTGGATGCTAGTCATCAAAGTCTGGAATGCTATCATAGGAGTATCCCCGGTTACCTCTGGATTGCCTAGTAGGGGATGCACAGGTGGTGCCATGCTGACAGAACAACCAGAATGCCAGTGCACATGACGGAAACGGCTCGTTTGTCCTCTTTGACTGATGTAGCTGCTAACAGGAAGAGAGCTATGATGGGGGAAAGACACCAGTCAAAACCAGCAGATTGGCAAGTGCACTGGCCGTATTAAGAACTTTAAGAGGCTCTTTCTTCCACTGAAGGTCAATGTAGCCACTAGCTATGCATGGAATATCTCAAATGGGTTGTAAACTACCTGACAGTAAAGTCTGTCATTTGTTTATTTTTCCCATAAATTTCACATATTAGACATTGAATAAAAGGTACTGTCTCTTTAGACATTTAAGTGATGCATGTAGCGGACATTATTGTCTCAAGTGTCAAGTGTCTTTCCCACCACTTACTCTGTCTCCGACTCTTACTAGATCTGAACAACGTGGCTGCTACAGCTCGGGTCCTAGTCATTGGAGCTACTAACCGACCAGATGCTTTGGACCCTGCTTTGAGACGTGCAGGAAGGTTTGACCGAGAAATCTGCCTAGGAATCCCAGATGAAGCATCCAGGGAAAGGTATATTCCTCCAGAATGAGCTTTGTGTGCCACTTAGTCATCGAAGCAGAATGCTTTGAAACTGTGAGGTGATAAATACCCTGTACCCTTTTCTTGCTCTCTCCCTCTCTGCAGTCTATGTGTTTGCTGATTGTATTTCCATATGTGTAATCTTTAACCATAGGTATTCAGCCATCCAGGTGGCTGTATTATCATGTTTATTCCTATAGTAAAATAATGTTATTTCATATCTAAATGGATTATATTTATTGAGGAATCGTGTGGGGATACAGAAAGGTTTTCCCCAGGTTGTCCCCCCATATTATATGCCAAACCTAAGGCCCTGCTTGCTAACACATGGTCAATGTCTATACACTTGGAGATCAGCTGCTTAAAGGTCATCTCCCTGAGGGTTATGAACCATCTAGAGCAATCGACCCTATTGTCTGTCCCATCCTAGGTGGGCCCCACACCCTGCTGATAAGGATAGTGGATTATTCCCCTGAAGGAGAGCCCAAAGACAGGGTCAAGCCATCTCAAGTAGGACCAAGGTTAGGCTGCCATCTTGAATCTAGGGGCCGCCCATCTTGTCACATATGTATCCTTAACACCTCCCCTTCCTATTGCATGACCACCCTTAGCTCATCCCCTTCCTGTCATGTATGCCTATTGTACAGCTCCTTCCTGTCACCTGTAATTAAGGGGGGCTTGCACGTCCCTGTAATGTATATAAATCGATTAGAAATGTATTCTCGCTCTGCATGGACATGGCTGCTGAGACCATGGCCATCCTGGAGGGGAGCAATTGCATGTTTTGTCTTGTCTGATGTCTCTTTAATTTTACCCCTCAATTATACAACCGCCCATTGGCCCCGTTTGATTGTGGGGGCTGGTACCCCACAATGGTGAGCATTACACACACACACACACACACACAAAGATGCTGAACAAATCAGCAGAAATGTAAGGAAGACCAAAATCGTCACAACTAACTGGACCAATGGCTAATGTCATGATAAAGGGAGAAAAGGTTGAAATTGTCAAGAATTTCATCTTACTTGGATCCACAATCAATGTTCATGGAAGCAGCAGTCAAGAAATATTGACATATTGCATTAGGTAAATCTGTTGCACAAGACCTCTTTAGTGTATTTAAAAACAAAGATGTTACTTTTAGGACTAAGGTGTGCTCGACCCAAGCTGTGACGTTCTCCATTGCATCCTGTGCCTGTGAAAGTTGGACATTGCGCAGTGAAGACCGTGGAATAACCAGTGCATTTGAATTGTGATGCTGGAGAAAAAGGCGAAAGAGCAAGGACTGCTACACGGATAAAGAGATCTGTACTGGAAGAAGTAGGGCCAGAGTGCTTCTTATGAGGCAAGGATGGCAATACCTCGTCTTATGTACTTTGGGCATACTGTTAGGAGAGACCTGTCCCTGGGGAAGGACAACATGTTTGGTAAAGTGGAGGGGCGGTGACAAGATGGATTGACACAATGGCTGCATCAGTGGGCTCAGGCTTAGCAACAGTTGTGAGGTTGGCAGAAGGGGAACCTTGCAGACGGTGCAGTTTCAGACTGTTGTGCATGGGGTCACTGGGTCAGAGCCAACTCAATGGCACCTAACAACAGCATAGGAAGAAATATGTCTCTCGTGTTTAAGGTGCTGATAGTAAGAGGGAAAGAGATCTGTGCTCTAAACATGAGAGAACATTTTTGGATTACGTACAGATCTAATGGTGGAGATAGGATGGCGCCTATCATCCTACACTTCTTAAACTCCTCTCCCATGAGCAAAAAGGCATACAGGGCTTTTATCAGTGTCACGGTTTTTTTCCCCTGCCTGGTTTTTATTTTGGACTATGATAGACTGACAGAAAAGCTGAAAGGCTGGTGAGACCTGTATTCCCTACAGCGAAATTCATCCCATCTTGCCATGTTTACTCTCACTCACTCTATATAAAAACATACATGTATTATCTATCTGTTGGCATGCACATGTGTATTTTTTCCAAACCTTTTAGTGTTGACGAGGTAATACATTAACAGAAGTACTTCTCCAAACTACTGTATCAAGCACTTTTTGATACTACTACCTCTTGATATATTACCTCTTCAACAGTTAAATGTCATGGTAATGAGAGATCATGCAAATGAGAAGTCAAGCAAAGGACGATTGAAAATTGTGCCTTCATTTTGCAACCCCGAAGTCATTCGTGACCTTAACAAAAAGGTACTTATTAAGTAGAAGGAAGGGCGTAAGCTCCAGGTCAGAATGCTTTAGGCCAATAGAAGTGAAGAAATCGTATCAGTCTACCACAATTGGCTTTAAGGGAAGTCTGATTGTGAAAGAGAGGGAAGAATGTGGTGGCTAGGTGTGGTGTCAGGTGAAGTATTGTTTTAAGATGGGAGAAACTTGGACATGTGTACTTGTTGATGAAAAGGAGCCGAGGAGAAGAATGGGCTTATGGAAGGAACAAGTTTTCTCAGCATTTATGTTTAGGTACCAGCCATAGGTAGTAAAGAAGGAAATGGAGGTAAGTGGTATGATGCTAGGAAATTGAGGACGTTTACTTTGTAGATTAAAAACTGAGAGCATCTCATCAAAGTGAGGCACGTGATGGATAGATAAGATGTTTGAGGGAATGAAGAAGGTCGCAAGTCACGTCCCTGATCACTTTGAGATAAACTGGGTAGGACAACATAGGACTCTCAGGCAGTGTTTAGGGTTGAGATGAAATCAAAACTAGATTCTTTGCCTTCAAGTAGATCACAACTCATAGTGCTCCTATCAGACTGAATAGAACTGCCCTCTGGGGTTTCTAAAACTGTAATCCTTAGGGAAGTAGCTGACCCCATTTTTTCCCCAATGGAGCGGCTGGTGGTTTGAACCACGAGCATTTAGTTTGTAATCTAAAGCTGAACTACTGGGCCACCAAGCTTCCTCAAGTTTGAGATTGTTGTTGTTAGGTGGTGCCCTTGAGTCAGTTCCAATTCATACTGGCCCTATATAGTGCAATAGAATGAAACACTGCCACCATCCACCTTCATGTAACTACCTCCTTGCCTCGCCTTGACAGTCAGACTTCCCTTAACAGTTGTGAAAGTCTGCTGCTTTCATTCCTCCACTTCCAGTTTGCCTCCAGCGTTTTAACCTGGATCCCATCTCCTTGATTTTACCTACACAGCTGGTTGACAAGCCCTGTGCCAGCCTCACAGTTGCTGTCAAGTTTGAGCCCGTGGTTATAGCCATCTTGTTGAGGAGCCTCCTCTTATTTTGCTAACCTTCTGCTTCACCAAGCACGACGGCCTTTTCCAGCTTCTGGTCTCTCCTGATAACGTATCTAGAGTATGTGTGAGGAATTCTCCATATCTTTTGAGGGAGCCCTCTGGTTGTACTACTTTCAAGACAGACTGTTAGCTCTTCTATGAGCCCATGGTATTTTAAATATTCTTCTTCAACATTGTAATTGTAATTCAACTTTCATATGCATATAGGGCGATTTAAATTAACCATAGTTTGTGTCAGGCATGCATTAGCCCTCAAAGTGACATCCTTGCTCTTCAACACGTTAAAGAGGTCTTGTGCAGAAGATTTGGCCAATGCAGTGCATTGTTTGATTGCTGCTTCTATCTGTATTGGATTTAGACCCAAGCAAAATTAAATCCTCAACAACCACAGTCTTTTCTCCATTTATCACGATGTTGTTCATTAGTTCAGTAGTAAGGAATTTTTGTTTTCTTTTACATTGAGTTGTAATCCATATTGAAGGCTGCAATCCTTGATCTCTACCAGCAAATGCTTTTATTTTTCTTCTAAGTATTTTTATTTATTTTAATAAATCATTTTGTTGGGAACTCTTACAGCTCTTATAACAATCCATACATAATTGTTTCAAGCACATTTGTACATATTTTGTCATCATCATTTCCAAAACATTTTCTTTCTACTTGTGCCCTTGGTATCAGCCCCCCCCCCCCTTTCCCTCTCTCCCACACCCTCCCACCCTCGTGAACCCTTGATAATTTATAAATTATTTCTTATGTTCATATTTTACACTGTCCACTGTCTCCCTTCACCCATGATTCTGTTGTTCGTCGGGGGTGAGGGGAGTTGTTTGTTGATCACTGCAATCGGTTCCCCCTTTCTCCCTCTTCTCTCCCCATCTTCCCCCATCTTCATGGTATCGCTACTCTCATTATTGGTCCCCAGGGGTTTATCTGTCCTGGATTCCGTGTCTTGAGAGCTCTTACCTATACTAGTATACAAGCTCTTGTCTAGCCAGATTTGTTAGAGAACTGGGGTCATGATAGCGGTGGGGGAGGAAGCATTGAAGAGAGGAATGTTGTGTTTCGTCATTGGTGCTATACTGCACCTGGCTGGCTTGTTCAGTCCTTGTGACCCTTCTGTGAGGTAATATCCAATTGTCTACAGATGGGCTTAGGGTCTCCATTCCAACCCCCTTCGTTTGTATCAAAATGGTTGTTTGTTTTGGGTCTTCTGATGCCTGATACCTGATCCTATAGACTTCGAGATCACATGGGCTGGTGTGCTTCTTCCAAGTGGGCTTTGTTGCTTCCCTGATAGATGGCTGCTTGTTTAAGACCCCTTTAAGACCCTAGGAGCTCAAGTAATAGCAGGGCACCATCAACTTTCTTCACCACGTTAGCTTAAGCACCCATGTTGTCTTCAGCAATGGTGTTGGGAGGTGAGCATCACAGAATGCCAGGTTATTAGAACAAAGTGTTCTTGCATTGAGGCCTCCCTCCAGTGCTAGATCCAGTGCTAGACCTATATTCCTATCATATATTAATACATTTATATATGTACATGCCTATGTTTATACCTCTATATATGTCTTTTGCCTCCTAGTTCTTTCCTCTATTTCATTTTACTTTTCCTTCTGCCCCACTATCATGTTCAGCCTTCATTTGGTTCTCTGTACTTCCTCTTGGCTACATTGTTGTGGGTTCAAATAAATGACTGGCACTACAATGTCTTGAAATTTAGAAGTCTTTAT